TGAGCGCCTCCCAGGCGCCGGCCCCGAGGCCGACCTAGCTCCGCACGCGGGTCGCGGGGCTGTGGCGTTGAAAGGGGAACCTCTAACTAGGATCACGCACAAGACCCTGGCGGGTCCCTCCGCCTGGCTCAGATGCCTGGCATCTCAGGCCTTGGCACAGCTAGCTGGCCCCTGGCAGGCCGTGGACCCAGCAGGCTGTTTTAGTGCAGATAGCCCTTGAATCTCAAGTCCACTAATGTTCCAGTCTCTCCGTAAGACCCAGATCCCTGAAAGTAGTGGAGGGAGGCGCCAGGGTGAGTGAGGTTTCCTAGGTAGCCCCTACCGCCTGCGGATACCCAGAGCTTCATATTTTAGGTGAACGTTCCTCCGCCCAGAGAGGCGACGGGGCTCTGCTGGAGTTGCACGACAGAACCAGAACCGCAGCCTTTAGGGCTGTGGCAAGCGTGGGTTGCGCCATCTGTAACTAGCTAATCACTCCTGTCTACAGGCCTGTGAGGTGAGGCCAAGACAATCGCTGCGGTCCACTCCGTTTTTGTTTTGTGTGTGTGCGTGGGGTGGGGGTTGGGTTTTGTTTGTTTTGAGACAGAGTCTTGCTCTGTCGCCAGGCGGGAGTGCACTGGCGCGATCTTTGCTCACTGCAACTTCTGTCTCCTGGGTTCAAGCAATTCACCTCCCTCAGCCTCCCCAGTAGCTGGGACTACAGGCACGCGCTACCACGCCCAGCTCATTTTTTGTAGTTTAGTAGGGACGGGGTTTCACCATGTTGGCCAGGATGGTCTCTATCTCCTGACCTGTGATCCGCCCGCCTCGGCCTCCCAAAGTGCTGGAATTACGGGCGTGAGCCACTGAGCCCGGCCAGTCCACTCTGTTCTTAACAAGTATTTTATTTCTCAGGGTGGGCAGCATGTAGAGAAGTGAGTCATTCCAGTCTCTGCCGGTTAGCACCTGCCAGCCTGAGTTGAGTCGACAGGACCATTATGGAGAATGTTCCTTGAGCACAGTATGTGACCAGGATCTGAAGATAAAAAAGACATGATCCTCACCTTCAGGAGCCTCTGCTGCCTAACATGTCAGTGACCAGCCACACGTGCAGCGACAAGTGTCTGGTAGAGGGAACAGTGCTATACAGCATGGAGGATCCCCACACAGGCCCCGGGCAGCAGGTGCCAGGCTCAGCAGGTTCACAAACACCCACCCCCGCCATGGAGTGGAGTGTGCAGAGAGCCAGATAGGTTTCTAACTGGGCCCTGGAGAGCTGCTGCTTCTCCAGCTCTGCCCTGCCCATGAGGCAAACAGCTGGTCGACTGATTTTTAGTGTTGGTTCTTGGTTCTCACCTTTGTTTCCTACCAGAGCTGGATCCTGGCCTCAAACTCCAGCCAGCTTAGGCTGTGATCCTCTGTCCTGGGCACCAGGGCTCCCCCTGCCCACCCCAGCAGAGATGCTGCTTTATGCCTGCATCCTCCCTCAGCACATGTGGCCTTCATCTTCAGTTCTGGCGCCCACCTATTCTGCCTCATCCCACACGCCACCTCTAGATAGAGCCCTAGAAAGTGATGTTGGCCTGAAACTGAGTCATATAAACATTTTCCTGTAGAAAAGACCAGATCCTGTCCTTGTTGAGATAGGAAATCTGTAGTCAGTTTATGTGTTACCTGCACTCGTGGGGGAACGGAGGGAAGACCACGAACCTCCTCTTTACTTAACAAAGAGAATTCGAGGTATTTATGTGTTGAGATATGTCACTTACGACATGCATCTCAGCTCCACTTTCTACCTAGGTGCAACCCTGGCCCAAGAACTAATACAAAGGGTACGGAATATTATTTCTTAGAATATGACTGGGCATGGTGGCGCACACCTGTAGTCCCAGCTACTCAGGAAGCTGAGGTGGGAAGGATGTGACATGAGGGGGTCTGCTGGCTGCTGTGGTCCATGGCAGGGGGGCAGCCCTGGTTTCATGAGCTCAGAACCCAGCCCTGGGGGTTGGAAGCATCCTCCACTGGGCACGTGTGGGCCCTGCAGCCTGTAGCTCCAAAGCACAGTGACTGGTCCCAAGCCCAGTGTGGTGGAGACGGAGATTAGGGCAGGAACCAGGGGGATTCGGTGGTGGAGGAGGGAAGCCGCAGGGCAGTTGATGGGCACATCAGATCCTGCGGACATGGTGTGCAGACCCCGAACCCTGGCAGAGGAGCAAGGATTCTTTGGTGAGCAATTGATCCCTTCACCAAGACAAGGAAAGGCTGGGAGAGTGAGTCAGGTGGAGCTCCGGGGAGATCAGCAATTCCGTTTGAGACACTTGTGGGAGAACACATAGGGAGGGGCCGCACCCAAACCCCACAGCCCCTGAAATGCGAACCTTTAATCTGAGGTTCATGTTCTTCTCCCCAGCACCAAGAGGATGGTGGCCCTTGGCCTCCTGGTGCAGAGCATCAGTCCCGCGCTGGGAGTGTGGAGAGATGTGTGGGAAGCAAGCCGTTCTTGAGGAAGTGGGGCCCACAGAGAAGTCAGCAGCCCCTTAGCCCTCACGCTTCCAAGGAACAGAACGATGGAGAAGCCTGCAGGCAGAAAAAAGAAGACGCCGACCCCGAGGGAGGAAGCAGATGTGCAGAAGGGCATACTCAGAGAGGAGAAGGCGTCCGGGGACAGAAAGCCACCCGAGAGGCCCACTGTGCCCAGGAAACCCCGCACAGAGCCCCGCCTGAGTCCTGAAGACGAAGAGCACATCTTTGATGCCTTCGATGCTTCATTTAAAGATGACTTTGAGGGGGTTCCCGTGTTCATTCCTTTTCAGAGGAAGAAACCCTATGAGTGCAGTGAGTGTGGGCGGATGTTTAAGCACAAGACAGACCACATTCGCCATCAGAGGGTCCACACGGGAGAGAAGCCCTTCCAGTGTGTGCAGTGCGGGAAAGCCTTCCGGCACAGCTCCGACGTCACCAAACACCAGAGGACTCACACGGGAGAGAAGCCCTTCAAATGCGGGGAGTGCGGGAAAGCCTTTAACTGCGGCTCCAATCTCCTGAAACATCAGAAGACGCACACCGGGGAGAAGCCCTACGAATGCACGGACTGTGGGAAAGCCTTTGCCTACAGCTCCTGTCTCATCCGCCATCGGAAACGCCACCCCCGGAAGAAGCCCTGAGCTGGGGCCGTCTGTGGACTCAGGCCCTACAGTGCGAGCCTCGCCGGCCGCCTGCTCCGTGGCTCCCTCGTGTCCAGCGTCTGGTGGGGGCACAGGGCCATGTGCACTGTGTTCCGTGCCCTGGGGACCCCCGGAAAATCAGCCCGGTCAGATGTGGGAACGTGCAAACGAGCGAGCGACCTTTCCACTGCAGAGAATCTCTTTGGATCAAGACACTGCAGTAATGTAGAAGCCACCAGAGGCTCCTTGCAGCCACAGACCATTTTCCAAGTTCTTCGATGGCTCACGGGGCTCAGCACCAGAGAGCAGGGTGTGTTCACTGCCATCCGTGGGACGGGTTTGGGTCACCTCAGAGCACCCAGCAGGAGAGGCTCCTGGTGTGGCGGGCGGCCGAGCACTTCCCGCTGCCACCTGCCTGTGATGTCCTCTCTGCTTAAGCCTTTCATCTGCCGCTGAACGCCCCAGTCTGGACACTCTGCTCTGTGGGTCCCCGAGCTCTGCAGCGAGCCCCAGGACCACTCGTCCCTTCCCGGCCTCTGTGCCCGAACTGTGCTTGGTTCTCTGGCTTCTCTCCTCCTGCTGGAGCGCCAGTCCCTGAGCTCAGACCCCGTCCCTGGAACTGGGCCACACCCCGCGCCCTCTTGGCCCAGCCTTGCTCCCAGAGAGGCAGTCTGACTTACCTGGATGGACTCAGGACAAAGGTTCCTCAGGACCTTGGACACCACCACCTGCTGAGCTTCCTGCCCCAGCCACGTGGTGGGGCCCCTGGGGTGCCCTCAGCAGCTTCAGTCCAGCCTGCATCTGCCCCTTGGCCTTCCGACGTTGGTGGTGGGTCCCAGCCCCACGGAGCAGCCCAGTATTCAGGTTAGTTCCATTTCTTCATGCCCGTACCAGTCCTGTCCCACCCCATGGCAGGTCCACAGGCCTGTGGCACCTTTGTGTCCATCCAGGAGCACTGTGGACAGGACCCTGTGCTCTCTAGGAACTGGTTTATAAGAGGGTAGAAAATGACTTTGTCAACCAGGAGGTAATATGGTTTTTTATTGGGAAATGTTGGCGCCTATGTTGTCAGCTGTTTAGACATGAAACACTAATCATGGCCCTAGTCTTTGGGGATTCTGTCCTGGAAGGAGGGTCCCGATTCGAGCTGGAGACAGCCTTGGCCTTGTCCATTGAGCAGTCTCAGAAATGGAGTGGGGGACACTGCCTGGATAATGGAGAGCAATCATGTCTGGGTGGAAACGTTTACTGGGTTAACACGTTTTTCCTGCCACAGTCTTTCTGAGGGCTGTAATATTCCTGCCTGTCTGTGTAGGCCCCATACCAGCTTGGCCACCGTGGGGTCACTTGGAAAGAGAGCCTCTTGGCAGGCCTCCCCTCCCACTAGAAGGATGCTTCGATCCCTGCACTCAGACGTGTTGGAAGCACATTCCACATCAAAGTGGGTCTCTTCTCCCAGCTGCTTCCGCTGCTGGCCTGGCCAGAGGAGCCTGTTCCATGGCAGGGAGTCCTGAGTGCCGCCACTTGTAGTATCATGAGGAGGTTGCCCGGCTCCCAGCCTCTCTCATGCCCACTGCCCGTGGGCTGCGCTGACAGGTGCATCTCCTCACTTCCCCACAGAAGTAGAAATAGCCTAGAACTAACCACACAGTCACCCACACTAGCTTTGCCTCTGGCCTGGTTAACGTTCTGTATAGCAGGTCTGAGAGCCCAGCCCGTCACCTGCTCGCACTGGGTCCTGACCTGCAGGGCAGCATCTCCCAGATGGCTGCAGGGCTCTCTGAGGTCGGGTGACACTCAGTGCGTGAGCTGGCTGTGGACCCAGGCTGGTCTACCCAGAAGGCCCCACCGCCACCACGCCCCCATGGCATTGCTGGTGTGGCTGTGCTCGCCTGTGGGCCCTGCCTTGTTTGGGTTGGGGCTGTGTTGGCCTCATCAGACGTGTTGCCTGGGGGGGTCTGCTCTCGGGACCGCACTGGAGGGGTCTCCCTGGGCACAGGTGAGCAGGTGACTCACCAGAGAGGAACCGTGGCACCTGTGGCCTCCTGATGGTCCTGCCACCGCAGTTGCTGCTGGAAGCATGGCCTTCGTGGCTTCTCAGTGGCCCATGGTCCCGGTGGGGGTAGGTAGGTGGCAAGTCCCGTGGTGCTGTGTACCTGCCTCGGTGATGACTGTGTCTCACACTGTTGGGTGTGTGCTGGGGAGGTCAGTCTTCCCGTGGGGCTCCCTGGGGCTGTGGTCAGCCCACTGCTGTCAGCAAGGGGGTGAGGGGGTGAGGGGGTGAGGGAGCGAGGGGCGGGCAGCCTCGGCCTCACCTAGATAGACTGCCCCTGGATGCCGCCGGCAGACCACGGCCAGTGTTGACCCCCACAGGGCAGAACATCTTGGTGGGCCCCCTGCCCCGGATCTCCTTATGCAGCCGTTCCCGGTATGTCCCTGAGGCTGGACGGCCTCAGCCAAGCTGTCACCAGGAGAGGAAGACTTGCACTCCCAGAAATGGACATCTCAGGAGGTGAAATTGTTCAGAAGTAGCCATCAGAGCACATGCGACGTGTGGTCCTGGATCGGAAGAGTTGCTTTGAAGGACTTGCTGGGACGTTTGGCTGACCTGGAGTGTAGACTCCAGGCACAGTCAACTGTAGGCACAGCCGGCACCAGCGCCGCAGGGACAGGGCAGTCCTCACTGATGCCCTCCTACTACAGACGCACACCGAGGCTCTCGGCCGCAGAGCGTGACGTCACCAGCG